ATATAAGTTACAACATTTATATAAGATGTAAATGTTACTTTGCAGTTTGGTTGTTGAGTCAGGATCTAAATACAGTTCGCACACTGTAGTTGATTGGTGCTTCTTAAAGTCCCTTTTAATCTATAGTTTTTCTCTTTTTTTCTTCCTATGCAACTTTTTTATTGAATGCACTGGATTGTCCATCCAATGGCTCCTTCCTTCTCTTGGCAGGTTTATAAAACAAGACCTTAAAACTTAAGCAAGGAACACAGTACTATTGAAACTATAAAATTATCAGAGTATGTGGCTGGGACTAAAAAGGCAACTTTCTAAAATTAATAGTTTTGTAAGAGTGGCAGGAACATGGGTAATTTCCTTTAATGGTGCTTAAGCTTGAGGTGATTTCATTCCTGCAACTGAGAAAATACAAGTATAGATGCATCTTGTAGTTCTATAAATGGCTGTAATAGCTATGAATTGCTCTGTCATATACCTCTGGCGTGTTTTCATAAGCATCTGTGATAATTATTCCTCCTATTGGGTTGTCAGAAAAGTCATGACACATGCATGCATAGAAAAACAGAAAAAATACGTCATGACTTTTCTGATGATCCAATATTTTCATGCTCCCCCTTCTTTTTTACTCACCATTCTATTAAGGTAGCTTTTCTCAAATCACTATAATCTATATTCCAATGGTTAGTTTTCAATCTTTACTTTATGTAGACTGTCAGCATTATTCATATAGTTGACCATTCCATGCATTAATTCTTATCTGTACATATTTCAGTATGTACCTCTAAAATATAATATCACATAAATAGTAATGCTTTGGTCTGAACATTTGTATATCTCCAAAAATTCATATGTTGAAACCTAACCCCATGGTGATGGGGCTATGGGAGGTGATTAAGTGCCCAAGAGGCAAGGGCTTTGGAAGGTGATGAAGTGATGAGTCTTCTACCCTCATGAATATGATTAATGACCTTATGACAGAGGCCTGAGGGAACCTGTTTGCACCTTCCATCATGTGAGAATATAGAGACACCACCATCTGCGAGAAATGGGCACTTAAGTATATACTGAATCTGCCAGAGCCCGGATCTTGAATTTCCAGCCTCCAAAACTATAAGAAATAAATTCCCATTGTTTATAAATTACTCAGTCTAAGGTACTTAGTTATAGTACCAAGAACAAACATTACAAAATAAAATATCACATCCAAAATAATAAGCAATAATCTATGAGTATCATTGAATATCTAGTCAGCTCTCTAATTTCCAATTGTCTCATAAATGTTGAAATTATTTTGCAGTTTGCTTGTTGAGTCAGGATCTAGATACAGCCTGCACACTGTCGTTAATTGGTGATTCTTTAAAGTCCCTTTTAATCTATAGTTTTTCTCTTTCTTCCTATGCAATTTCTTTATTGAATACGCTGGATTGTCCATCCAATGGCTCCTTCCTTCTCCTGGCTTCTGAGATAACGCTTTCTCTTGGTTTTGCTCCTACCTCACTGGCCACTACTACTTAGATTCTGTTAGCAATTCTTCCTGATCACGCTGACTTCTGAACACTGCTGTGCTCAGGATTCAGTCTTCAGCTTCCTTTCATCTTAGCTACATTGATCCCCAGGTGATTTCACTTTATTCTGACAGCTTTAACACCAAATGCTGATGACTCCCCAGCTCTCCCCAGAACCCTGGACTCGTACATGTGGTTATCTGACATCCACAATGAATTAACTAAGAGATATCTCAAACTTAAAACCTCCCAAACTGAACTCATCCCAATATCTGCTCCTTCCACCAGCTTTCATCCAAACAAAGCATATGACAATTATATACTCTGGATTTCTGGGAGTCAGAATTCTGGGAGAATTCTTGCAGTTATTCCTTCTTTTGCTCTCATACTCCCATGTAATTTATCAGCAAGTCATATCACAGCTACCTTCACAATTTGACCACTTCATACCACCTCCATTACTATCACCTTAATGTAAGTCACTAACGCCTCTAACGTGGAATTATTAAAATTGCTAGTCAGACTAAATAGGATTGCAGACCACAATTAGAAGAAAGGAGATAGGCAAAAAGACCTCTTATGAAACTGACACTTTACTTTTAAAAACTTTCCTCATCATTAGGAACTATTTCATCCTAGGCCTTGACTCACCTTATTATTTTAACTGAAGGAGATGAATAAAGGAAAGAGACATTTTTTTCTTTATGACCTAAAAATTGTCTACATTTGTAGTTGAAATGACAGATATTGAAATATGTTTTCATCTACTATGAAAATCTTGAAAAGGATAGTGAAAATGAAACAAAAAACTGGAAGGACAACCCATGTTCCTGGATAGGAAGAATTAACATAATCAAAATGGCAATTTTATCCAAATTAATCTACAAATTTAACCCAATTACAATCAAAATACCAGAGACATTCTTCATATATCTAAAAAAGACAATTATAGAATTTCTCTGGAATCATAAAAGACCTTGTATTGCCAAAGCAATACTGCACAAGAAAAGTGGAGTGGGTGGCATATCATTCACTCCCTGACCCAAAAATATACTATGAAACTGTGATAATCAAAACAGCATGGTATTGGCACAAAAACAGACAGGCGGACCAATGGACTAGAATAGAGAACCCAGAAATAAACCCCAAAGCATACAGCCAACTGATTTTTTGACAAAGGATAACAGTCAATCCATTAGGAAAAGGAAAACCTTTTTAGCAAATGGTGCTGGAAAAACTGGATATCCACCTGCAGAAAGATGAAACTGAATCCCCATCTTTCACTATTAACAAAAATTAACTCAAAATGGATCAAAGATCTGAACTGAAGACCTCAAACTATAAAACTACTGGTGGAAAATACTGGGGAAACTCTGGGAGACATTGGGGTAGGCAAAGACTTCTTAAATAAGCATAGGTAATAACCTATAAAACAAACAAGTGGGACTATATCAGATTAAGAAGTTTCTGCACAGCAAAGGGCATAGTAATAAATGTGAGTTGACAACCCTCAGAATGGGAGAATATTTTTGTCAAATATGTCTCAGACAAGGGACTGATAACCAGAATACACAGGGAACTCAAGTGGCTTACCTGAAAAAAATGATGAACCCAGTATGTGAAAATTCGCTGAACAAAAATCACTCTAAGGAAGACGAATAAACAGCCGAAAAGCATGAGAAAGTGCTCAACATCCCTCCTCATAAGGGAGAGGCAGATTTAAACCACAATGGGATACCACCTAACCCAGTCAAAATGGCAAAGATTAAAAATACAAAAAGTGATAAGTGTTGGCAGGGATGTGGTGAAAAGGAAACTCTCCTACACTGTTGGTGGGAATATAAATTGGTTCCGTCACTGTGGAAAACAATATTGAGGTTCCTCAAAGATCTACAAATAGAACTATAATTTGATCCAGCAATCCCACTTCCCGGTATCTACCCAAAGGACAGGAGAATACTCAGTCGGAAAAGTGCTTGCACATCAATATTTATTGCAGCATTATTCATAATCACTAAGCTCTCTCTCTCTCTCTCTCTCTCTCTCTATATATATATATATATATATATATGTATATATATACATATATATATATATAATAAAAATTTGAAATAATTCAGTAAGTATGCACAACATACCTGCAGAATGTAAGATATTTTAGGAGTTACAAATAGAACTATCATTTGATCCAGCAATCCCACTTCCCAGTATCTACCCCAAAGGACAGGAGAATACTCAGTTGGAAAAGTGCTTGCACATCAATGTTTATTGCAGCATTATTCATAATCACTAAGACATGGAACCAACCTAAATGTCCACAAACAGATGGATGACAGAAGTGTGGCACATACACTCTATGGAATGCTACTCAGCCATAAAAAACAAGACCCTGGCATTTGATAGAAAGTGGTCAAATATGGAGGATCTATATTGTTGAGTGAAGCAAGTCAGGATATGAAAGAAAGGTACTGTATGTATCCACTTAAAATATACTGACTATCCGCACTTTATGGTAAAGATCGAAATATTGGAGGGCATAAAAACAGTGAAAATAGTTATGGACAGTGTGAAGGCAGTGTGGAACAGGGCAGGGGGCACAAGAGAAGAGTATAGAGAAGGGTAGCAAGAGAACAGAGAGGTATGACATTAGTGGGACACAGAAATGGTTTATTACCTGCTGATGATAACACGTATAGTATTCTCAACTGGACTGGTATGAGAAGTAGTTTATGTTGGATAAATTCTATACAAACAAACCAAATGATATATAGTGATTGAATGTTTTAAAAAATAATCATCACAACAATAATCTGAAAAAAATGCTGAAAAGCTATTTGATGATGATGATGTGGATAGGAATGTCTTTGTCTTGACTAATATGCATGGTAATCATGCTGGAAAAAAGAACTGTAATGCACTGTAAAGATATATGTGATTCAATATAATATAAAACAGATTATGGTAATAAATAAAATTAAATAAAAAAGAAATGTTATATATCATAAATATATATGATTCAATGTAACAGAAAAATAAATTTGAAAAAGTTATAAGAAAAAAAGAAGTATGTTTTCATCTTTACAAGTTCTGGTTTCCATATACAGTATAGCTACAAGGATGAATGTGAATATCTGACTCCACAGAACCTTGAGGAAGGCAAAAGATTTGAACTGCGAAACAATAAAGGAGAGAGAAACTAGTTTCCTTAGTTGGCCTTTACCTAATCCACTTCCCTTTTAAAAAAAGTATTACACACACTCACACACACACACACACATACACACACACACACAATCTGTGGAGGAAAAATGCCCATTTCCTGCTTGAAAGGGAAGTAGGGCATTACAGAGATATTATGATGCAATGAGGACCACATAAAAGACATTGGTAACATTATGAGGTCAGGATTTTTACTGAAATGCTTGCCTATATGAAATACATTAGAACTAAGTCAGCTTTCCTACCTGCTAACATCCTAGCAGAAGCTCTTACTCCTACCCATAGTGTAGGATTGTAAGATTAACAGAATGAGACCTAGGGAAAAAAACTGAGACATCAGAGAGGCATTATAACAACTGAAAGGTTTTCTAGGTTGGCAAATTTTGTGGTATTATTTGTGTAGAAAAAATAATAATAAAAGATGCCCCTTGTCCCTATGGACATTAGGGGAGAAAAGCGTTTTAACATTGCACTTGAGATTAGCAATTTCAAAACAGCCTTGAATGGGTTTGAAAAACTGGTTGAACAAACAGCAGCTCAGAAAAGGGATGAAAGAACAGGCTTGTTTATCCCCAAAGAAGGTAAGATCATTGATTACAGGACAGTCCAGTTGAGTCTGTTGATTAGAACTGTGAAATGCCTTAAGCCATCAGAGAAAAGCAACATAACTTAATAAGAAACACACTGGATAAAGGGGCTAAAGATCTGAATTTTCGTTCTTTGTGCAATAACAGCTATGTGAACTTGAGAAAGGTTTTTTTTTTTTTTTGGCTTCACTTTGTTATCTTAGTTGTAACATTAGAGGATTGGATTAACATCTAAGGGTTCTTTGTAAACAGTCATAATGCATGGTGATCACTAACAAGCCTTGTGTGCCACTCTGCCATCTTTTTGCCTACAGGTATCATGAGACCAAAGGATTTTCATAAGCAGCACACAGTTTACTTCTTCACTATGTTTCCACTTCCTAGGTCTCTAGGCAGAAGTGATTTGAGCATGACAAGATGAGGAAAAAATGGTCAATGGAGCAGTGTCAGGGATATTAGCAACAGAGAACCCAATGCAGAACTTTAAATACATAACTGAGCTAGCCCATGGCATGGTGGTTAAGATAGCTGGATCCCACACACCAATCACATGGTTCAAGTGCTGGACTCTTCTACTGGAGAAACATGCTGGGAACATGTACATGCATGCAAAATCCCAAAAGGAGAGGGAAATAGAGAAGAGATTGTGGCATGACTGTGCCCCACTGGGGTGCTTTCTCTCTTTCTTTTTCTTTTTTTTTTTGGGGGGGAGAGGTTTTCGCTATAGGGCACGTGCGCTCGCCAGACAGACAGAGAGAGACATAGAGACAGAAAGCGAGAAATCACCCCCCAGGGGGGATGGTCACGCCACAATCCCTTCTCCTCCATTCTCCTCTCGGGATCTTGGGCACACACGCACACATGCCCGGCGTGAGTTTTTTAAGCCACCGGATTCTGGACACGAACCGTGATTGACTACGTGGGAGTCCAGCGACATAGCCATTATGCCAACTGCTGGTTCTCTCTCTTTCTTTTTCTATCTGGCAAGCACATGTGCCTTCTGGCAAAATACAGAATGGAAAAAAATACATCACCATGGTCAGGGTTCAAGGAGAATGGTACAGTGTGTGGCTTTGGGGCACTGAGGACAGCATGGCAGAGTAAGGCTGAATACAGAGAAAAAAAGACTAACAATAAATCACTCTGTGATAAAAGGTATAGGACTTACATAATTGCCGAAGGGACTACATGACCAGCATCTTAATGTGCCTAGATGTAGAGTTATATATATGTGAAAATCTTGACTTGGGCTATTCAAACCCAAACTATTATTTACATGTAACTTAATAATTTATAAGTCATTTTAGTAAGTATAATTTGACTTACATGACAATTGCATAGACAAATATTCATTTTATTTATGAAAAAAGTTGGAAGTACAGTCATCTTCTCAAGACACTCAACTCCTAAATGTCAGAGCTTAGACTAGGACCTTTCAGATAGATGCTTTAAATGATTGTGAACTTTCAGATAGATTCTTTTTTTTTTTTATGTTTAATTTTTTTTTATCATCATATCTTCTTCAT